CGTAGTTGTTTAAAAACCATTCACAAAATACAGCCCGTCGCGGAAAATCAACTTCATGAAGTTCTTGCTGACAAGTTAAACGATAGGAGAACAAACGCAAATCTTTTTTTAACACTGTGTGGCAGGTACCGACTGATACTCCCACCATTTGTGATAAAACACGTACAGAAGTTCTTGGCGCATTTTCCATTATTTGTTGGACATTTTCTTTTAATTCTTCAGTCCGCTTTTTAGGTCGGCCGCTTCCTTCTTTTCTTGTTACACTGCCCGTTTCACGAAAAACATTAACACAACGCTGAACTGCACTTTGAAAAATTTTGTACTCAACAACGCCGGGAAATTGATTTTGAAATTCTATGAAACATTCCTCAATAGAATACTTCCATATTCCATCAATCTTGCGTCCATTTCTAAAGTAGGACTCTATGATAAACACTTTTTGTTCTTGAGAAAACACCACTTTCAACGCTTTTTAAAACGAAAATATTCAAATTGATAGCGGCGATATAGCGCTTTGACAGATGACGTTTAAGTTCATTTGCTATACGCTACGCCCTACGTCCAAATTTTCAGAACCAACTTGACCACGTTTTTATTTGAACGCTCGTTATATCATCGATCGTTATCTTAAGTAGCTCATTTCTTCTCAAAGCTCCAATTATTAAAATGCCCCGGAAAGTTGTTCAAAATTAGTTAAATTGATCGATTTATATTCATTTGAATTACCCTTTCTAGAATAAATCTATTATCAGGTGCTTCTTATAAAAATCTCTCACTTCCTCTTTCGTTAGAATTCTAGACTCTTTAGGTCGTATCCAACTGATTTGATTTTAAAATGTGGTATTAGTTTTGATTTGTACATTGTTTTTGGCATGCACTGTACACTTTAAGATGGAATATACTGACCATAACGTAGAAGGTTTAATTTTATTAATTTTATGTTTATATGTTTTTATGTAATACCGCTTCGGATACTTTTTCAATTTTCTTGGAATTACACCATCCTTTGAATTCGTTGGTTGTAGGCCATATCGTACTGTCTCGACGATTTTTTGGGGATTAATTATGAAACAGCACTTTGTGTCGCTTCTAATACTTTCCCTGGTAAATGCTCATGTTTACTTTCCGAACTCATTTTAAATTAAACACTCTTAGAATATGAATTAGAATATATAATTCTGACACTACTTTTTCAAGCAACAAATTTTTATTGTTTATTAGGTCGTTCCTTCCATTATTGTACGAAAAAGTACCATTTTGCGTTCTAGATACAAACATTACTAATTATTTTTGTTAATAAATGGTTAGTTTTAAAGCAAAAAAGTGGGAGAGTGACTTTTAATATAAACCATTTTTATGCAAAACATGTTCTAGTTGTAAATTAACCGATACCATTTGTGTTAATTCTTTAGAAAACACCCTATATAATCCAATAAATAATTATTTGTATATGAGGGCGGGTAGTGTTCAAGAGATTGCTGGTCTTGTTATAATAATATATTTTATACAATACTTGTATATAATGATACTGTAATTTCTTTGGTTTTAAAGGAATAATGTGGCCTATAACTCACTAGTGAGTTATAAGTTATAAGTCACTAGTGAGTTATGAAACCCTTGGTTACAGACACAATTTAGGTTGACACTCGCATCCTTTGTAATATTTAAAAATACATTCATTTCGTTAAATTACTTTTTTTCACATTGACAACTTGAAATTTTAAGTTACTTTTGTTTATTATTAAAACGAAATTCTATGAAAGTGATGGATACAATTTTGTATGGCACTCGTATGTTACGTCATATAAGTCACTTGAGAAAATTAGCTAAATATTTCCTAGCGTGACATATATACCGTAACACACTAGTACCATAAATAACTATTATTGATTATTTGCCTTCATATAATCTGGAATTCGAAATTTTTAATAGTGCATGCTTATAAAAACTGAAAAATAATTGTGAAAGGTTTGAGTGAGTCTTGCTGATTCTATTGCATAATATATTACATAATACTTTTAAACACAACAAATAACAAATCAGCTCATAACAATTGTTAGCAAATTAAGCTGGTAATTTTTCAGGGTGAGCGGCAATATATTCCAAAGCACGCTGAATTGCTGGTGGAATTGGTGGAGGAGTATTGTCGTCAACTGGGGCTACTGGAAGATGATCACCGCTGGGTTGGAACCCAAATTCATTGGCGACATAAGAGAGTTTGATTGGGGTTCCATCTGGAGCTGTGTAAGAGACGGATCCAGCAACTTCTTCAGCTTCAACATCTGGAACTCCAGTATTTTTAAGAACACCGAGTTCTTCTGCTGTTATTCCATTTCCAGTTTCGTAAGAAAAGTGGTAGCCACCATCAACGCCTACATCAGCTTCTTGTCTTAAAATTGGTACTGGTTCTGTTCCAGTAAGGGAGGCAGCAGAGGCGCTTGCCAAAAAGGCGAAAGCTATAATCTGTAACATATCGAAACGTCGTATCAGAATTATGTACTATTACTATATATTTGAATATAAAATCATAAAAATATTACTTATTATAACTAGTTTTGAAGACTTCTGAGATTTGAACGTAATATCGCCAGCAGTCGAGCTGCGAACATAAAATTAGAACGTTTAACTTTAAAATTTGACATGTCGATTGGTAATAGGTGCATAGTTTTGTTTGACACATTTTTTAATATTTCTTATGTGGGTTTTAGATCATGATCCTCTAAATTTTAATTTAAATAAAACAGCTGATACATTTTTATCGGCTTTTGTCCTACTATTCTTTAAGGTAAAGAGGATCAAAACAAGTGATCAAAATTCGATTAATTCAAATACTTTCAAAACTTTCTTTAATTTGAAAGATATTATATTCAAATGACAAAAACTAATACTCAAATTAATACGATTATAGTTTTCGAGTCCTAATACTTAAAATACGGATTAGAGAAATATTGGAGATAATAAACTCATCTTGAATTTAGAATTAATTGCTTAAGAAATATAAGCAAAATGATCCATGATCAGATGAAAATGATTATTAATAATTACATATTTTTAAAGAACGTATTAAAACTGTAGCTATGTAAATATCAAATTTTCTGACTATACGATATTATTGCGTACAATTTTTTTAGATGTCATACCTACTATATTTTTAATATTGGTAATTATCTAACTAGGTACTTACGGCGATCTTCATTATTGTGATATGTTTAGAAGGAAATTTAATGTCGATATGGTTGTAAACATTAGTTGTCCCCCAATTTATACCAAATTTATTTTCCAGTACTGTGACATAACTACAAAAAAAGTCATGTGAAGTAACTTGTTAACAAGGTTGAATCTTCTTCAAATTTCAAGGTTGTCTGCCTCAGGTGAAATTCCACCCTCTCTACTACCGTTACTCTTTACTTTTTATTTGTTTAACGGAATTTAATAGTGTTATCGTAATTTGTTCTCAATTAACATTTAGTGAATGGCTAGATATATAATGTAATGTTATTAATTGGAAATAATGTATGCTAATGTAAAAACTAAAAAAACTTCCTCAAAATAACTTCTTTCTAAAAATGGTAATCGAATAAGTATGTAAACTTGTAGAATTATTTCAAAAATTTCGGTTTTACTTTATTGGTTACATATGGGGTATTCCATGCCAAATCACTGAGGTCGTGACCCGACCATTTTTAATTTAGAGTAGCTTTCATGAATTTTTTTTAATTTTTATTTCATCCCCTCAAGAAGTTATGAGCATTTGATTATTTTGTATATAAAAATTTCAAATATGCCTACCTTGGCATAAACTAAAGATATCATAAACTTTTTTTTCATTTTGTTCGTTTTGAGATGTAGTTTTATAAGAAAAATATATAAATAATATATCGTTAGTTTTTTTGTTTCTTTTTGATTTTTAAACCAATTTTGATAAATTTTCAAAAAAATCGTCTCATTCACATAGGTTCTTTTTTTTATTCTATTTTTTTTTCGAATTAAAAGAGAAGTTCCCGCCATTGATCCAAGTGCCACTTCGAATGAAGTTCTTAACGACTATTTTATACAGATACGCAAATAAGTGTATATATAAACTATTTGTAAAAAAATTAGTCATCGCGGTGCACTGGTCATTATGTTCACTTGATTTAAATAACGAAAATAATATTATAATAAATTTTAATATTGTTGTACCAATGTAGTCGTTAAGATAATTAACAACTATAGGATTCAAATCCTTCGAAGTGGCGCTTGGATCACTGGAGGGAATATTTAATGGAATAATACAGAAAATAAAATACTTCAAGAGTTATAGGAATTGTTTTTTTTTCATTTCCGCGTTAATCTATCTGTATATAAATGTTTTTACTAAATACAAAGGGTCAAAAATATAATAAGTATTATGACATTATGCAAAACAATATACAGGATGTCCGCAAATTTCGTCGACAACGTTTGACTGTTCACGACGATAAATAAATACGATCTACGAATAACTTAAGTAAAACATGTTTTGGTTTTTGAGTTACAGGCCTTCAAAGTTGTCAAAAATAAAACTTTAAATTTAATTAATAACTTCATAACCCTTCTACTGATAGCGTTAAAATTTGGCAAATTTATTTAGACTATTATGACGTATTATTCTTAAAACTCAAATCGATGTATTGGATAGGTAGTAGTTTTCTCCGGCTACCTTTTAGCGTCAAAACTTATACAGTATTTTTTTTAAACGGGTAGCAACATTAAAAAGATCGTTTTTTTTAATGTCTGTTGAGAAAATCACTTACAGAAAACTATTCTTGAGAAAAATGATATTTTTTGCAGGTCCGTATGTTTCGGTTTGAATAGCGAGTGTCGCTGAGTTAAAACTTTGGGATCAGTAGGCGATGAAAACAAAATATTGTTTGCTGTTGCTATCATGTAATGTGATTATTGTCATTTGCTCTAAGTGACAGAGTATTGTTATTCTACTTTTACTTTAATTTAATTGATTTTGCTAGTTTTTTAAATTCCTTTCATTAGTTTATTTTTTTAATAATATCGTTTTATTAAACGTGGAATTTTCATTTAATGAGCTTGCCGATATGATTTAATATTAGGAGAGTGTAGGATTAACTAACTGTCGAGCTGCTGCAGGATTGTTTCAGTGAAAAATTCCCGAATGATTGAACACCTCATCATACTACGTTTATATTATGGTTCTTTTAAAAAACATACTGTAAATTCCGGTCGTCCCCGTCAATTAGACAAGAAGAAGTGTCTACAGTGCATCATGATAATTAAATATATGTAAAACTAATGTTCACAGAACTTTAAAACAACGACTTCTTCGGCCATTTCATTTAACTTCTAATCAAGAACTTGAAGATTTAGACCCCAATGCACTGCCACTGGTTGGTGAACGGCATCGCAGAAGATAATAATTTGTTTCAAATATTGTTTTTTACCGACGAATCTTGTTTTACAAAGAAGGGAGTTGTAAATTTTCATAAGTTGCATGTGTGGAGTGATGAGAATCCTAAAGAAATACGACATTCTCGTTTCCAAAGGCAATTTAAAATTAACGTCTTTGCAGGAATAATTTGTGATTTTTTTTTAATTGTGCCTGTTATGTTACCACTTCGACTGGATGGGAATTCCTACTTACAGTTTATTCGAGACACACTTACACAGTTGTTCGAAGATGTGCAATTGGGATTACTCAACGAGATAATATTTATGCACGATGGTGCTTTCCCTCCCTACTGTATTCAAGTTAGACAATACTTAAATGAAGTTTATGGAGGAAGATGGATTGGTAGCGGGAATGATACACCAACAAAGTGGTCGTCGCGATCTCCGGACATTACTCCCATGGACTTCTTCTTATGGGGAACAATTAAAGATAAGGTATATTACACCACCGCACGGTTAAGCAGAGGACTTTATATGCCGCAAATGAAATACGACCAATATCTAAATGTATTTAAACAAAGTACGATTTGAGCTTTTGGTCGAGCTAATTTTTCTGTACGTTACGTTGGAGGAATTTTTAAAAGGCAGTCGAAATAAGTGGTTTTTAGTTTTAATTAATCGGTTTTTGAATCTCATGTAGTTATTTGTAAAGTTTATTCTATTTTTTGTGCTTATTAGTTTTAAGTATTATTTTATGCATTACTCAAAAATCTGTACCGATTTCGCGCTATGTATTTATCTGTCTATTTTCAATCACACATTTGTGCCCTTTTTGTTTGTTTGTTGTTTTATGTACATACCTGTATCTATATAATTACGATTTCTCAGTCTACAGCTGCCTTTTAGTCAATTTTAAAGTTTATTCTAAAAGTATGATTGGAGATAGTTTTTTATAAGTATACCATGAAAATGCATAACTTAAAAATATTAGTTTCGTTTAAAATAATTTCACTGCTAATAATCAAAAACAAGATTAACATTAATAATGTTTCACACATGATTGTTGATCAGTTCTGATGATCGGTCCAACAGATCATCAGTTCAAAAGTTTACTTTTTATATGACGCGTTTCATCAGAGATTCTTTTTCTACTTCATGTAGCAATTAACGAGACAACCGGCCTTTAGAATAAGTTTTTTAAAAGAAACATAAGGCAAGTTCGGTATTAACATTTAGACACTCTAGATATGTTTTGTTCTTTTCTAATTGTAACAAATAATAGATGTCAATACCGAACTTGCGATGATTCGGGAATCTTTCACTGTACAATAGTGTAGCCGCTCGACAGATTATCCTGCACCCTCCTAATATTAAATGCATGTCGGCAAGCTCATTAAATGAATATTTCATATTTAATAAAACGGCATTAGTAAAAAACTTCTTCCTAAATAACCTAATGGAAATGAATTTAAAAAACTAGCAAAATCAATTAAAGTAGAATAATAATACGCCGTCAACTAGAGCAAATGACAATAATGATAACCACAGTAATCAACATTTGTTTTCATCGCCTACTGAACTCAAAGTTTTCCGTGAGACTGCTGCGCAAACCGAAACATACAAACCTGCAAATAATACCATTTTTCTAAAAACAATTTTTTTCTTAAAAAAAACAACCTTTTTAATGCTGTTGCCCGTTTAAAAAAATACGACCACTGTAAATGTTTCGACCACTAAAAGGTGGAGTTAACCGGAAAAAACTACCACCCAGTATATTGGTTTGATTAAGGCTTTAAGAAATAATACGCCATAATAACCCAAATAAATGTGCCAAATTTAAACGTGATTGGTAAAAGAGTTATAAAGTTTAAAATTAATTAAATTAGTTTTATTTTTGACAACTTTGTAACTCAAAAACCAAAATTTTTTTATTTAAATTTTTTTGCGTAGATTGTATTTATCGTCGTGAATACGCAGTCAAAAGTTATCGGTGAAATTTGCGGACACCCTATATAACGACAATATTAGTAGACGATTTTTTGAAAATTTTTGATAGGAAAAAATTCTCCTCTTTTTCAAAAATCACTTTTTTGGTTTAAAAATAAAAACACTCAAAAAACTAATAATGTATTATTTTTATATTTATTTAATAAAACTGCATCTCAAAGCGATCAAAATAAAAAAAAAAGAGTTTACAATAGGTATCTTTAGTTTTTGCCAAGTTTGAAATTTATTTACCCAAAATATTCAAATGCTTATAACTTCTTGAAGGGTTGAAATAAAAATTTAGAAAAATTCATGAAAGCTATTCTAAATAGGTACAATACCAAAAAATTTGGAAAATTAAAAATTGGAATAACCCATATGTGTATTAACATTTTTCTGTTTTTTTTTGTACAAGGGTGCAATTTATTAGAAAAATAATACAGTGTGAATGGAATGAGACTTATTTCGACGCAATTAAGAAAATAATAATTATTAGAATAGAAAGTCGACAGTATGTGGTATGGTTGCTTATAATAACAGAACACTAGAGCTAACCAAAGGGATTATAGAGCATATTCCAATAAAATTACCTGCAAAGCTGTCGATTAACTATAGAAAACAGTCAGTCACACAATTATCCTGGAAGTACTAATGAAATGGATTTTTGTAATAGCTAGTGAGATAGTTGTTTTCTATATTTTTCAAAGAAATTTTAAACTGTTGAAGTGTTGTTGAACTAAGAAGTCGCGTAAAGGTGCATGCGTTCCAGATCATAATAATGAATATTCAAGCTACCACAATGTTATTTAACAGATCTACTGATAATTAGATTAAATAATGATCATTGGAAAAATTGCTACCAGATCTGGTTTGCGGCTGGCCAGGATCCTTATTTGTT